TGAATGCCTTGGCCCCCTGCCCATGAGCTGGAGGCATTAGGAAGGCTCTCCCCTCCTTCAGTGCTGCTTACCTGGACAGAAGCAGGGGTCAGCTGACTTCCTGGCAGGTTCTGGGCTACCAGTAAGACCAGCAGGGGGACTGGTAGGAGGACAAGGAGAGAGGGAGCCACTGCAGGGAGTACCCAGCTCAAATGTTGCAAATCAAGGAAAGGTCATGCAGTGTTAAGGTCATGAGGTCCAGGAAAAGTAGGGGCAGTCCTCAGGTATAGCAATAGTCATGGGTTAGTATTGGTCACAGGGTCCAGGAATGGTCAGGGTCCCTGAGCTGAGGACAGCTACCTCTGAGCAAAGCAGCCCTGTGGCCACCCCTGGCCACAGACATCTTCAGCTGGGGCGCTGCAGGAGCCGATGAGGGTTAAGGACCAGTCCTAGGCAGCCCAGGTAAGGGCTGCAAACATGACTGCCATTATTGCAGTATGAATAAACTGAGGCTGGGGAGCAGGGGAGGTCAACCAAGAGGGAATAAGGAGTCCTAAGGGCTCAGCTTTTGCTTCCTGCAAGTCATACTTTTAGAGTGACATCAAGGCAGGCACAAAGGGGCCTGTGTCCTAGTAACAGCCCTTCTGAGAATGAGTGATGTTGTTGGCATGGCAACAGCAGCATCCTAGGCCCAGGGGGGTTGCAGAGCGGCAGAGCTGGAGCAGGTGCAGTGACAGGAAATAGATATCCGGTGCATCTGGTGTGGCCTCATTTGCCTTTGATGTCAGAGGTGCCTGGGGGTGGGGAGTTGGGGGGGGTGAAGGGCTTCCTCAGAACCCCGGGCAGGGAAACCCTGGGCCAACCAGAGAGGATCAGAAGTTAGGGCTCACCTTGTCCAAACGTTCTTCAGGATTCAGGCCCCTCCCTGTCCCTAAGTGAGAGCTGTGCCAAGGGCAGGAGCTAGTTCTGACTCTGGATCCTGGATCCCGGGCTCTGCCTCCCCTAGCACTGAGGGATCAGCCCTGGAAAGGTTTGCTAAGCCTGGGATTAGGTTTTTCCATTCAAGGTAGAAAACTGCTAGAGATGAGAGAGTGAGGGTGTTATTCTCATCTTCCCGCCCCCATGGTTCCCAGAGCTAATGGGGCATCTACTGGCCTGTCCTCATGGCTATAATCCTGCATCAGCACTCAGGTCTGTGCTGCCAAGGTGCTACGATGCAGAGGAGAGCAGCCTGCAGTGAGGACCCTCTCTGGACTGGGGTCAGCCTCTGTTGTTCCCTCCTGTGCTCAAGAAACAGTTCTCACCCAGCCAGCACCTCTACAAGGGGACCTCAATCTCTAAAGGCTAATAGGTCAAGGGCTGAAAGGTTCTACCCAGGTCCCTGTAGCCTTGTGAAAAGAGCCCAGGCCTCCTACACAAGCCACTTTCCTCCTCCCTGGTTTGGGCAGATGAAGCTGGAGGGACAGGCTCAGGAATATGACAGGGTGGGTAGACATTGGGCAGAATCAGAAGAATGCATGAAGCCTAGATGATTACCCCCTAGGCTGTATTAATTCAAGCTCGTTGCCCATACACTTTAGTCTGTGCACCCCTCCAAGGCTAGCGAGAATATTCCCAGTATTCCCTGTGCCCACCCCCTCCCAGCTGTAGACCTACCAGCTCACCTGAAGGTGCAAGGGCAGCGAGTGTGTATGCACAAGTCAGAGAAGCTTCAGGTGCAGCCCCGGGAAGCTGGCAGCTGCCCGTCCTCCCCTCTAGTCATTTGTCAGCCCTGGGAATTCCCTCTGACGTTGCTGCCACTGGGCATACACAGGGACCACAGGCAAAAGAAGGAAGCACAGCTCATGTCCAGACTGTAGTTGGAGGGAGAACACAAAGCCAGCTAGCAGCTTGGGCAGATCAAAAGACCCCCATCCCAACATCCCACTGGGAGGTGCCTTATTTGTCTGGATCAGAAACATGGCAGGTGGAGAGGACTCACAGAAGAGAACAGTAGGGGAGACCAGTGTCCTCCCAGAGCCCACCTAAAATGGGAGGACTCTTCTGGCTGATGGTAGAAAGGGTCATAGGCTCCCACCCTGAGAACGTTGAGGTGAGGCTGACAGTATGACCTAAAGGATGAGGGGAGAGGTGGCTATCGTCCCAAGGATTTAAAAAAAAATGCAGAGGGAGGAGGAAAATCTCAGAACTGTTCCCTAACATACTGGTTACCTTTAGGGTGTTCCCTTCACAAAACCTTCCAGCACAGGCTGATCCCAGGAAGGGGAACAGAAAGTGCAAAGGAAAGGGATAACCATTTGAGGCCACACCGATTCATTCGCTCTCCTCTGAGAGGTGAGGAGTGAGGACAGTCCTGCTCCTGGGAGGGCTCCTCAGCCTCTGCGTTCAGCAGCACCAGTCTGGGGGCCAACCTGGGAACAACTGCCCAAATGCTTCCTGCAGTTTTCCTCCTTGAGGAGCTAGCTGAATCAACTGTTCTCAGCAGTAAGCACCTGGCAGAGGTTCAGACTCCAAGTTTAAAAGAAAGATTCTGGTAAGACTCAGGAACCAAGGATGGACTTCTGGAAATTCATGAACCCCTGAAACTGTGTGCAAAAATGTATACAGGCTGGGCGCAGTGACTCGCACCTTTAATCTCGGCACTTTTGGAGGCTGAGGCAGTAGGATTGCTTGAGGCCAGGAGTTTGAGACCAGCCTGAGTAACATAGAGATCCCTGACTCTACAAAAACAAAACAAAACAAAAAACGAGCCAGGTGTGGTGGCGCATGCCCGTAGTCCCAGCTACTCAGGAGGCTGAGGCAGGAAGATCACTTGAGCCCAGGAGTTCAAGGTTGCAGTGAGCTGTGATGACACCACTGCACTCTAGCCTGGGTGACACAGCGAGACCTTGTCTCTAAAAAGAAAAAAATAGTATGTGCATGTACATTTTTGTAGGGAGAAAGTCCACAATTATCTTTGTATTTCCAAAGGAATCCACGATCCTAAAAGGATTAATAACTACTGATCTAAACCAAGATAAAGGAACGTTGTACTCCTTCCCCAGCCTGGTCAGGAGGCTGAGCTGCTCTTCCTATTAAGTCCAGAACCACTTCTTTTTTTTTTTTTTGAGACAGAGTCTCACTGTGTTGCCCGGGCTAGAGTGCCGTGGCGTCAGCCTAGCTCACAGCAACCTCAGACTCCTGGGCTCAAGCGATCCTTCTGCCTCAGCCTCCCGAGTAGCTGGGACTACAGGCATGCGCCACCATGCCCGGCTAATTTTTTTTTTTCTATGTATTTTTAGTTGTCCAATTTCTTTCTATTTTTAGTAGAGACGGGGTCTCGCTCTTGCTCAGGCTGGTTTCAAACTCCGGAGCTCAAACAATCTGCCCGCCTCGGCCTCCCAGAGAGCTAGGATTACAGGCGTGAGCCACCGCGCCCGGCCCCAGAACCACTTCTGATGTGAGTTTGCCTGTGCCCCTTGGAGGGGGATGGAGTTGGCCACACGGTTCTTCCCACCTGCCCACGAAGGCTGCTGGGCCTCCTTACCTCTGGCTTCTGCTCCCATCATCTCACCGCCAATTAATTCTCAAGGTTTGTGAATCTAGCTGTGCCTGGCACATAGAAGGCACTAAAAAAATTTGAATGAATGAATGTAACAAATGAACAAGGCTTTGCTGTGACAAGTAAGCCCCAGGTTCCCTCCAAGGCTGTTCTGGCACGTAGTACGCAGGATGACTGCAGTTATCTGGGCAAGGGTGATAGCAGGACCCCTCAGGCCACCCACCTCCCCTCCACACTATAGAGGGACAGCCCACTTACGCTGTCCCAATCTCTGAGGAATGTGACAGCTGGAAAGTAGCAGGTACATTCCTTGGTAGCTCTAATGTGCCTACTGTTCCAGTGGGAAGGTTGGAGGGACGTCTCCTCCCCACATTTCCCATTTCCAAGGCTTTAACTCTCTTCCCAGATGGCAATGTCTCCTTGCACCCTGAGCCAGTTTTCAGTCATCAGTGTTTCCCGTTGGCTCAATTAGGTTTAATTATCCACTCACTCTGCTTCAGAAGCTCAGGCCCTGGAGGGATTGTCCAACCGGGGTTTTAAGCAACTGAAGGAGCCAAAGGACAAACGACCATGTGTGGAATTGCCCAGGGTTGAACCAGGAAGGAAAATACGAACCCAGAGTGAAGTCCCACAGGGGTGGGGGTGGTGAAACCTTACCGCCATGTAAGTGACTAGGGCAATAGGTAAGCATGAGGCAGATGGCCTGTTGCGAAGTTGGGATTTTTACAAGTACATGTATTAAAAACAAGCAAATTGAAAGAAGGTCTGAGTGCTGAGGGGGCAAAGAGGCCTCTGGGGAATCCCGTCTGGCAGCAGGCCCTGGCCTTCAGGTGGTTGTGCTTATGGGCAGATTAGTGCCTCCCTGGCTTCCCTAGTTCTCCCCCTTTGGGACAGCAGATTCAGATGCTGGGGCAGCTGCTCAGCTCTACCAAAGGTCTTGGCTACTGGGGGCTGGAGAACTCATGGATATTAGCCGCTTCTAGTCAAATAGGAATCTTGTAGAAGAAACAGGCAGACAGGCTCACCAAAGACTCATTCTGAACTAGCAAGTGTGTGGAGTCCCTGCTGGTCCTCATGCCACTGTATGCTGGGCTGCTGAGGCCCAGGGAAGGGGCAGGGCTGCAGGCCCATTCGCAAACAGCCCAATTCCTTTCTTTACGCACACAGAAAAGGCAAACCTTAGTGCCACACTTAGCCCTTAGGAGCAGCCCTGGCCCACCTTCCCCATCTTTCCCTAGTATGTGCATCAATGGCTGATGCAACTAAGGGCAGGGCTCATCCTGGGGTGATGCTTATTTTGGGATATGGCTGTTGTGAGGACAGGGAGAGAGGTCAGGTCAGATTTACCTAACTTGCAGCATAACAGGTGTTCATTAAATCTCAGCTGCTACCAAAGCTGGTGAGAAAAAGACAGGGAGGCATTAAGACCTGAAGGATTGAGGTAGTCCATAACCCTGGGCCTTCAGAACAATACATATTCAAAACAAGGGATGGTTTTGTTTTCTGGCAGAATCTTTTTTAATATAAAACAAAGATAAAACACATCTCAACCCTACAATGTGTCTGCATGCCTTGTTTCTACAAGATGCATGCTAGACCATAAGACTACATAGCAAAGGGTCTTTGAGCATTTGGTTGGAAGAAATAGAAAATGCAGATCTCAGGGAGGCCTGGGCAAGCCCAAAAGCTGAGCTACATCCCTGAACACTAGAGCAGTCCTTGTCTTTTCAGATCCTCATAGGTCTTCTTATTCACAACATTCCCACTGGAGTCTTCATATTCTTCCTAAAAAGAAAGGGGTATACTTTGTTAGCTACGCCCCCTAGGAGAAATGTTTGGAATCAATCTCTGGGTACCTGAGCTCAGCCTGGCCTGAATCCATGGCACACCTTGGTACTCGGAGATTGGTATTCATCTAAGACAGCCTTCCTCCACTGAGGTTCCACAAGAGAATTAAGCCCTGTTGCCCCTTAGGCAGCTACTGTGTGTAATGAATTTATTTCTCTCCTGGACATCTAGAATGGTACCATTCATGACCTATCCTTAGGGTATCTGAAGAAACAGTTCAAATTACTTTCTGTGTTTAAGATGAGGAACCCTGGTTGAGAAAGCCTAAGACAGCAGTTTTCAAATGGTTTTCAAGAACCCTAGGTTTCTGCAGGAGTTAAAAGGAAGGCTGAGCTTCCCCATTTCTGGAGCAGTTTTCTTTATTGTATTTTATATATCAGAGTTCTGTATTATAGCTGGAAAAAGGTTTTGCTGCTTAAAAAAAAAATCTATCTATATAAAAACCACTGATCTAAAAGAAAGGGAGTCTACTGCCAGTCACTGTGGGACACGTGGTGAGCTGCTACCATACTTAACGCACGTGTCATTCCTCATCTCTGAAACCTGCTGCTTGAGATGACTATCTCAGGACCAACAAGGATACCTCCCCACCCCTTACGTGAGGATCATCTCTTCTTAGATGCTTTCCTCAAAGGGGATCTGACATATGATAAGGATTCTCAACTTTTTAGCCTATAAATCCCCATGGCAGGACAAGAGATTGGGTACTCCTGTCTGTCACTTCAACATTTCAATGGGAAAATACAACCTGCCTTGAGACCCAGATTAAAGCCCGACAGTGCTCACTTCAGCAGCACATATACAAAATCCGATACAGAGAAGATTAGCATGGCCCCTGCACAAGAATGACACACAAATTTATGAAGCATTCCATGTTTTTAAAAAAATTATAAAGTGTGACAAACATCACAAATAAATTAGGCTTACACAGCAAGAGTCAACTTATAGATATTGTCACATTATACTCGCTACTGCAGTAAAGCAGGGACCATCTTTCACCTCCCTTCTACATGGTGAGAGAGCTGTCACTTGACATCATCCCCAGCACTGTCCACATTAGCACCTACCTCAGTGTCGGGCTGCCATCGCTCTGAAGCCTTCTGCAGTTTCAGCTTGGCCCACACTGCGGGACGAGAAATGAGCAGCAATCAGGACCGACTGAGCAGGCATTACCACCCCCCATGACGATCCCCCTGGATGACTCTGTCTTTGAGATTCTTGCCTGCCCCAAAATGGAATTTTGGTTCTCAGCCACCTATAGACAATACTACTTCCACTGCAAAATTTATCACGATCTTGCTTTGTTGTTAAAAAAAAAAAAAAAAAAGGGATCAAATATAACCAAAGACCTCTTAGAATAAAGAACTGATACTCTCAAATGAAGTTAATGTGAAACAACCTATGGGAATTATGGAAGAAAGTGACTTTACTGTCTTAAAGCTCACAATGGAAGAAAAAAGGAACACTAGATACTGTCAAATATGTTTACTTAAAGTCTAGTGCATATATTTTAAAAATTTCTGTAGGAAAAAAGGTGAAATTTCACGGCCAAAGCGTCTGAAAGATAAGACTGTTCAACAGACAATGGAGATATTAAAATAAAATTTCTCACAGTTCAATAACAAATTACCCCATGAAGAGGAAAAGGTGAAGACATCTGTGAAAACCACCATAGCTTTAGAGGGAGTGATCAGACACATACAGAAACAGACACAAAACCAGGGAAAGAATGACTTGAATCTTTAAGAATGGTGTTAGGAAGTTGAACTCTCAGAACAAATGGCTACACAGAATATTTAAGACAGGTCTGCTGCTAGAGGGGAAAGATGCAAAATATCAACAGATGATGGTGAGTAGCCAGAACTACTTGGTTCCTATGTTTCCACCTTTCCCACCAAGTAGAACAATCCCTAAATTTGATGAGATTAGAAGAAATATCATATAGAGAAAGTTGAAGCCTAACATGGGTAAAGAAATAGTAAATGAGACAATATATGAGAAAATGCTTTGCTTTGTAACCTGGCATATAGGTGCTCAACTAATCATCTTTTCCTTGCTTGCCAATTGCTTTACATTAGCTAAAGTCTTCAGGCCCAGATAATATGCATACCAGGAAGGAATGGCAAATTTATCACATGCTTACTATGTGACAGGGCAGGGCCCTGTCATATTCTTTGTTTAGGCCTTTCAGGAATCCAACCGAGAGTGGCACTAAAATACTGGAGACTGGAAATGCTGTCACGATTTTCCTAAAGAAAAAAATGGATGCAGGAAACTGCAGAGCAGTAAAGGAGATGTTACTCTTCAGAGAAATCTGAAAGCACCTGGAAAAGAATATGATCATTGCCAGGTGCCCACATGGGTTCATTAAGAGTAAGTCAAGTAAACTAAATGAATTTCCTGTTTTTGAATGGGATACCTGACACAATAAAAAGCCATAGACACAGGATATCATTATTTTGACAAAACAATTGCTTTTATAGGCAATGTCCCTGAATTCCATTAGAATGTTTAAATCTCCTATGCTACTATAGTAAACAGGATGGTGATACTTGAACTTGATGCTATTAGGTAGAGTTAAACCTAGTTAGAATATTGGTAAAATGTGACCAATCCCCTACATGAGGATTTCTGGTGGAAATTTCACAAGGCTCTTTTTGTCTTTTGTTCCAACTTTTAAAAAAAATCAGGAGGCCGAGGCGGGTAGATTGTTTGAGCTCGGGAGCTCGAGACCAGCCTGAGCAAGAGCGAGACCCCGTCTCTACTAAAAAAAATAGAAAGAAATTATTTGGACAACTAAAAATATATAGAAAAAATTAGCCGGGCATGGTGGCGCATGCCTGTAGCCCCAGCTACTCGGGAGGCTGAGGCAGTAGGATCACTTGAGCCCAGGAGTTTGAGGTTGCTGTGAGCTAGGCTAACGCCATGGCACTCACTCTAGCCAGGGCAACAGAGCGAGACTCTGTCTCAAAAAAAAAAACAAACAAAAAAAACAAAACATAAATGTAGAACAATGGAATAATTAACATAATAAATTTATAAGTGGAATCCTTCATTTAAGTAAAAAAAAAAAAGAAAAAAATCAACTGCAACTTAAATGACAGTACTAAACTCCTCCCTCCAGGCTAAAATCTCCAAAAGAGAGAAAGAAAACCATCAACAGAATGATCTAAAACAAAAACAAGCAAGTTAGTCCTGGTTACTTCCCTACCTGCCTTTTTTTTGTTTTTTTTGATGTTCAATGATCTGTGAACTTTTTATTGGTATAAGGGCACCCTGCTCCTACTGCCTCAATGCCTCAGAACTTTGGTGTCATTGGTCTCAGACACCACTTTGTCGCCCACTATCCGGCGAGTGGTGACTTTTGGATGGTTTGCATGGAGTTGCTGCTGTCCAGGGCATCACCAAGATTGAAGTCTTCCCCATCTTCCAGCAGGCAGTGGTAGGTGTCGATCTCAGCCTCCAGCTTGACCTTGATGTTCAGCAGGGCCTCCTACTCCTGGGCCTGGTGCTGGCCCTCTGCCCAGGTCTGTGCCAGCTCTGACTCCAGGTGCAGCAGGACTCCAGTAAGCTGCTCCATCTGCATGGCGTAGCGGGCCTCCACCTCCCTCAGGCTGTTCTCTAAGTTGGCCTTCACATTTCTCATGGAGTCCAGGTCGATCTCTAAGGACTGGACCATACGTCTCAGCTCCGTGAGCATCATCTCGGCAGCTCTGACCTCAGCGGACTGCAAGGTGACCACTGTGGTTCTCTTCTCAATCTGCTGGGATCAGTATTTGTCCAGCTCCTCTTGGTTCTTCCGAGCCAGCTCGTCATATTGGGTCCGGATGTCCGCCATGATCTTGCTGAGGTCCTGGGATTTGGGGGCATCTACCTCCATGGTCAACCCAGTGCTGGCAATCTGGGCTTGTAGGCCTTTTACTTCCTCCTCCTGGTTCTTCTTCATGAAGACCAACTCCTCCTTGAGAGCCTTGATCTCTGTCTCCAGCTGCAGCCGAGTGATATCGGTGTCATCAATGACCTTGTGGAGCCCATGGATGTTGCTCTCCACAGACTGGTGCATGGCCAGCTCTGTCTCATACTTGACTCTAAAGTCATCAGTAGCAAGACGGGCATTGTCAATCTGCAGAACGATGCAGGCATTGTCCACAGAATTTGCAAAGATCTGAGCCCTCAGGTCCTCGATAATTTTGAAGTAATGCGCCCAGTTTCTGACCTGGGGCCCCTTCTTCTCCAGGTGTTCCCAGATTTTGCTTTCCAGCCTCCGATTATCGATCTCCAGGCTCCTCACTTTGTCCAGGTAGGAGGCCAGGCGGTTGTTCAGTTCTTGCATGGTCTCCTTCTCGGTCTGGATGCCCCCCATTCCTGCCAAACCCCCGGCCATCCCCGCTGTCAGGCCCCCAGACCCCCAGCTGCTCCGTACGCTGGTGGAGCAGGACATGGAGATCCAGGAGCCCGAGTCCCCAGCGCCTGCATAGACACTAGCCGCGCTGCTGGCAGGACGGACGCTACGGCTGGGCGCCTGGACAGAGCCCAGTGACCAGTAGTTGGTGGAGAAGGTGGTAGAGTGAGTGGTGAAGCTCATGCTGTCCGTGGAGGAAAGCGAGAGGACAGGACTCAGGGTCGGTAGGCCTAGCTGCTCCTTTCTTAGAGAACATGTCTCCCTGGCAGTCCTGGAAGGAGCAGTCTTATCTCACAAGTATCTACTTTCATCACCAGCCCTCCTGGAAACACAGCTGACTGAACTACATACACATGGCTCCTGACCCAGCTGCACCTACCTATCGTCTCTCTCAGGCATTAGAAATCGGTACACTGAGTGAGCAGGATAATGGCAGACTCTGAGAACTGAAAAAAGTCACACAGAGCAAGGGCAAGAACTGCTTTCACTGTAAACTAAAGTTGGAAGAGAAGACATAAGAAAGCGGGCAAAACTCATCTATAGAAAGCAGCACAGCTGCATATTCTTGCAAACTAGATGAAGACATGGAGTTAGTTTTACTAGGCTCTCTTTCTTATAGCCAAAATCCCTAAGATGTCTAGTTTGAATGCTTAGGAAAAACCACAAGTTTAATAAAAAAGAATTATACCGCTAATAGGAAATAAAGAAAAACTGCAGAAACTCTCCACAATAACAGAATTAAATCAAACTCAATAATTATCGATACTATTAGTGAGACACCTGAGATAAAGTCTGTCAGTCTTGTGGGAGTCAATATGTACATAACCATCTATTTGTTATTGAAAACCTGTTAGGCTGGGTGCAGTGGCTCATGCCTGTAATCCCAGCACTTTGGGAGGATAATTTGAAGCCAGGAGTTTGATAGTTTAAAAAAATAGAAAAGTTAAAAGGTGCTCAACCAATTAGAATGAAAAGTATACTTTTAATAATTTCTGAATTTTTTTTAAAAATCAGAAATAACATCTTTAATAAATAAAACTCTAAATACAACATATCAAAAATAGATATTCCCAATGGAGTCATGGAGTCCTTACAGAATGACATGTAGTTCTAAATGCCTATATTAGAAAGAATAAAAAAAGAGACTAAACAAAAAGAATAAAGTTCTTGACTAAAGACTTAGGAAAGGAATAAAGAAACAAGATTGCAGAAAGTATTAATAAGAAAAAGAAAATAATAAAAGTCAGAATGGAAATAAAGTACTTGGTTTCCTACTTTGTCATAAGAAATCAAGAATTTATACCCATTATTAACAGGAATCTTCCTGAAGCAGTACCTTTGTATGAAGAACTAATCTTTATGGATGTAATACACATAGCTTCAAATAACAGAAGAGAATGTAGCATGAAATCCCATCCATTTTATGTCATGAATGTTTTTTTTTTTTTTTTTTTGAGATAGGGCCTTGCTCTGTTGCCCAGGCTAGAGTGCAGTGGCAGGATCATAGCTCACTACAGCCTCAAACTCCTGGCCTCAAGCGATACTCCTGTCTTGGCCTCCCAAAGTGCTGCAATTATAAGCGTGAGCCACCATGCCTAGCCATCAATATGGTTTAGATCACCAAATGTGACAAAGACAGCATCTCAAAGGAGGAAAAAAATAAAGCTCATCTTACTTATTAACATAAATTCGTGAACAAAACTTCTAAACAGATTCCTAACAAGATAAATAACTATATTAAAGAAATATCTATCATCCAGTATGAAATAATCCAGAAATGCTGTTTTACTCAATGCCTGATAATAGAGAAAGTGGTAAAAATGTTATAATCATCTTAACACATTCTAAGAAATATTTGACAAATTTCAGTGACCGTTTTTGGCTATATTTATTTTAAAAATTAGTACTAAGTAATGCTTTTTGACTATGATGTTAAAATCATTAGCTAATCTTAAAATTAGTGTAGATGTACAAGCATCGTTCCCTTTAAAATCAGCATCCAGGTAAGGATGACCTGCTTCTATTTAATGTAAGACTTAGGGTGATGCTTGGGATAACTATCCAGGAAGAACAATAAATGCATGGAAAAAAATAACCAAAAATATCACCTTTGTTTTTGCAGTTGGCATAACCATAAGCCTAAAATGATGCAAATGAATCAATCTTAGGGTATCCAAAGTAGTAACTCAGGAAAATGACAGGGCAAAGAAAATACACAAAAAATGAACTGTCATCTATTCATGGTGCACAGCTAGAAAATACATCTGAATATAAGACTGTATTTGAAATGCAGTGTTATAATTCATTCTATGCAATTTTGTTATTGCTTTCATTTCCTCCCACTTGAAAAAGTAAAGAAGCTAATTATAATTAGACACACTGTAATTCTGATGAGTAAAACTGTATGATACTGACTGATAATAAGGAAATATAAGAAAGCGAGGAGTCCCTAAAGCAAATGCACACACAAAAATGCAATGAAAGAATCCCCAGCACCCATGGGCTAGGCCAGGGATCAGAAAGCTCTTTAGAGGGTCATTTCTCCTTGGCCCTGCAATGGAGATTTGGCAACTCTAGAGTTGGGAGCCAAAACTGTTAGCTGACCAAGCGGCAGACTAGCGTGCTAAGTACAATGGAGGGCTGTGTGCCTGTAACTTAACAAAGTGGAGTGGTGAAATCCCTTTCTTTTCAGTCTAACCAGCCTACCGTGAAACATGACTGAGAAGAGATAAACTGGAAAAAAAATAAAAAGCTGCCAGGAAGATGTTAATGGCAGAAAAAGCAACCACTGTCAGGACAACAGGAAGCCTCCAACTGAGGCCCCCAGGTGCCTCAGCAGCACAGCCCCCCTGACACACGCTCTACTGGGCTCCCCTCCAACAGGTATTCTGCGGCTGTTTCTGTGCATCTGCCCTGTTGCCTCAGACAGAAGCTTACTGAAGCCACTTCTCTTTTTTCCTTTGTATCAGCATTTCTTGACATATTAAAATCAATTGAAAGAAACATACATACAACCATTCACTCAAAATCTTGCTGGGGGAGTTCACAGTCCCAGGTTTAAAGCCCTGGTTTACACTCAGCATAGGGCTCTTCTCAAGGGAGAAACAATTAGTGCTGCTAACTCATTCCCCTCAAAAATGCGGTAATTAGATGACTGGTCTAGCTTTTACATATCCAGAACCAACTGCTCTTAGGCCTGGATACACCAGGGTATTGGGACACTGAGTTGCAGGAGTGGCTACTTGGTCTAGCCCAGGAAATAGTAAATAAAGCTTACTTACAGGAGACAGCATCTTCAATCTGTGTCACATTAGCAAAGTGGGCAGTGTTTGGGATGCCCAAACACCTCATGCCATGGGCATGACGCCATTCCTGGAAGGAGAGAGAAACAAAAGGACCACATGAAATGGGAGTACCTGAACACGGAGCACTAACTCCATTCTACTCTACCTACAGGCAGCATTCCTTTTGTGGTTCATGTAAACAGCTGACTGTGACTGAAAAGAGGCTGGTATTTCAAAGCAGCGTGGCATTGTTTGCCTCACTGGGTTGGTTTACAAAACCTAGATTCTAGATCTAGTAGTCCTACAGACAAAATCTCTGGGTCACGACCACAGAAAAACACAACTCTAACCAATCACCTTCCATGTTATGGGAGAACCTGATGTGGCCCCAGCAACTCTGACTGCCAGTATGAATAAAGGTTCTGATGGCAAGTCAGCATCACCTTTCTAACTAAAGAAGAAGACTGTTTACCGGGTACAAGAAAGGACGTGAGACAGGGGAGGGAGAGATACTGATGTAATGACAGTTTTGGCTGAGGGATGATAAATGGCATGGCGTTTATCCCAGATGCCAACTCCAATCATTGGAGGTAGTGTTGGGAAAGATTCAGAGCCCGCTCAGGGGCTCAGCAAAAAAGACCTAGGATCAATTAGTACTATGTATGTCTGAGAGAAGGAGAGAGGAGTTTCATATAGATTCACCATCCTTCGTCTAGCATAAGTTTTTTCCATTCTGTAAAATTTCCTTCGAAGTACCGAGAAATAAAGGCAGAAACTAAAGAAGGGTGAGCCTACCTACTGGACTACCACCCACATGATGCCTTTTCTCAAGAATAGCTTGCTAAATGTCATTCCATTAGTTTCTTTTTTTCAAAGAGATAAAGGCCCATATAAGACCCAAAGGAGGCAGTCAGCTTCTTTTTTGGTCCTGACTATTAGCAATGGGGAAGAGAAATAACCAAGGAGTCAGAGACTGGGCTAAGACGTTGGAAGAAAGACAAAAAAAAAGAAGTATAAGAACAAGCAGGAGAAAAACAAAATGAAGTTAAAATAGCAGGGTGGTATGCCTCCAGAAACTCTCAGGTATTCAAGGCTAGCAGCACTGGTGCCAAAGGCCAAATGCTACGGGCGTGTTTTCAGACCCATCCTTCTCTGATTCCTTTCAGCTCTGGACACTAGTGGTTCTCTCAGGCTGCTCCTATCCTGTTCTCTAAAAGTCTCATGTTTCTACTTCAATTCTCAGGAGAAATGGCTCTGAATTCCTTACAGCAAAGTGCCGTTGGAAGGCCTTGGGTCCTCGGTAGGTGTAGTTTCCACAAATTTCACAGTTGTAGTTGATGTTTAGGCCATGAAGCTTATACAGCCAGTAGGGAATGGGCTAAATAAGAAACAAAAAGTAAGAAACAGCATTAGTCTACTAAGGTCTGCACCTGCTTCCAAGATGAGGAATGGGGAGAAAGTGGTAGTGCTCGGACTTACTTTGCCATCCCAGCCAAGGGGCAGGTTTTTGGGGTTGTAAATGATCTCGTTCTCTTCATCTTCACTTTCACTCTCACTGATCTGCTCTTCCTCCTCCTCTTCTCGCTCTTCTCCTGTCCTTGCTTGCTTGCGTTGTACATTTTCATGAGTTAGATGTCGCTGTTCCTAAGGCAGGTCCATAAATGAAGTCAGAGAAAAGTAGTGCAGAATAAGAAAGGAAATTTCCTATTTTCCTATGACCCTTGCTGACCCCTCACTTCCAAGGATAAGGTTCTTTCTTGTAGAATGAAGGGATAGTCTTCCCTTCACATCAGAATTCCTCATCAGCAGGCCCTACCTGATCCTGAAGGAAAAAGTCAAATGTTTTACATCACTTGCCTAATTACTCATCGGAGGCCAGCAGACTGTCACAGAACAACACAGAACAGTCTCATCTATCTTGCCTCTAAAGTCCTTTCTTTCTTGCTGTTACTGCCCTCACCAAGGTGACCACCTTCTAACTGCCCTAAGTCTCTCTCCATTCCAGTTCAGTTTCCATTTTGCTACCAGATTTATCTGTTTAAAACACCAAATCTAATGGCACACTCTCCTGCTTAAGGAACTTTTATTGGCTTCCTACTGTGTAAAGGACAAAGTCCAAATTTCCAACATAACTCTCCAAATTTTTCTCTGACCACTCCCTTCACAAGGCACACTCCAGACACACTGAATTTCTCATTATTTCCTGGACATACAATTTCTTTTCCTAACATTGTATCTTTGTGCTTGCTGTTTCCTGTACCTGAAACATTTCTCCCTCTATTTAGAAAACTCAACCTCAGTGTATTATGACATGTATCACATTATACTGCAATCATCTGTCTCCCCAACCACACATGGGTTTTTCAAGGGCAAGAGGCTGTGTCATATTCACTACTGTATCCAAAAATTTAGCATAATGTTCAGAAACCAAGAGACATCAATAAATGGTAAAATAATGGCAGAAATCTTATCAGTGCATAATGAGAGCAACTTCTGGAAACCATTTAGCTGGAACTGGTCAGATTTCAAAGAGAATGGTGCCACCTCCTGGCAGGGAAAGCAAATGCTCTTAAAGGGGGAAGAAAGTGGGCATACCTCATGTCAACGGCATGGTGTCAGTGGCCTCCCAGCCATCTTCAGAGGACTGGCAATTCAGATTGCTACCCACACTAGCACAGCCCAAGTTCACTGTGAAGAACATTGTCCCCAATGTCCAATGTCTGGCTGGCCTTTCACTGAAAGCAGTTGTGACAGAACCAAGAGGTGACTAGTTCTATAGCTACCATATGTGTGGTCCTCAAACAAGAGGAGAATCAAAATGTCCATGGCAATTGACAGAGATGTAAAAAAGCTATCTGAGCCAGAGTCACCTACTCAAAGCACCACGTGAGCGTGTGTAAAGGGAAAGGCTCCGAGAGCAGTTGAAAACTGTACGAAGCAGACACTGTCAGAAAGCCTGGTCTTCTGGATGACTCTCAGAGACACTGACCATCTTCTCAGAATGAGTGCTACCCTGTCTTCCGCCTTCTCTTCCTGGAAAGAGATCTATTTTCCTCCTATGCCTGCCCCTCTTTTCTTTCTGAGATAAGCATCTTGGTCAGGCTAGGCCTTTTCTTACCCCAACCAGCCCTTCAACTCCTAAAAGAATACTCAAGAAGAATATTCACAGCCAGCTTTGTACTATAATATTCTAGCCCTACTAAGTTTCTCACAATCTTTTGAACATGTAAGTAATGCCTTTTCATAAATAATACTTGAAAAGCTACCAACAGCCTTTCTCTTACTTGCCTTTTGAGTATCTGCTGCTTGAGCCACCCCTGGGTATATTCTGAAGCTCAGGCAAAGAACCTGCACTACCCTGGATGCTGTATTGAGAGGGGGGTCTGTTCTCTATGCTGGGCCTTATGGAAATTGGACGACCTTGGGAATATCACCTAACAACAGAACAGGAACTTACTGAAGGGCCAAGTACCCTGAAAGACCTCTATTTTTGTGCTGAACTAGTTTAACACCTATCCCTTCCTCTTCTGAACCTGAAAAATTACTCTCAGTTCCTATCTCTTACTCCCATTCTTTATAGCATTTAAAGCCCTCAGCAGAGTCAGTTACTCACCCCAAGAATCTCTACATATTCATAGATCTGGGCTTCTAGAAAAGCAATGTCTTTGTTCCTCTCAGTGTCTCTGAAAAAAGAAACAAGCTGTGTTACTCAAGGGTTTTTTTGCCCAGTGCTTGTATCTGGGAACATTTATTCCATGGTTGTGTTAAAAATTATAAGCACATTAGAAATACCATTTCTGTGAAAGCAAATGCTCTGTTCATTGCAGGACTCACGGACAAAAGTACTGAGGTTATCTTGGAATGCATGGAAGCTTATTTTTTGAACTCATCTAGAAGGTGAAAGACATATCAAGACCACTTAAATTTCCAACACTATAATCTACAAGGAAAATGTGGCTCTGCTGCAGGCAGACCTGGGCCCAAATCCTGACTCTGCTACTTAGAACTGTGAGACAAGACACATCTCATAACCTTACTAATTCCTTATCTGCAAAAAGATCAGGATAACTACTTTCCAGGGTTTTTTGAGGATTAGGAAAAAACACATACAAAAATACCCTGTACAAGCATGTGGCTCAAGAATAGATTCAACTGTCATTAGCAAAAAAAAGCTTATAAAAATAGTTTTTGGATCTATTTAGACTTTTAGCCTCCACAACCTACTCACATAATAAGAGGTACTTTAAACACCGTTTCCACGTTAGAAATTTTACCCACTCTCAGTCACCTGAGTAGGGACTGTCCTTGGTTTATATTAACAGTGACAGTACTCTCTGCCATTAGCAGAAATAAAAAGCAGACTGGATCTCTATAACCAATAATGGTGATGAAACAGGCTTTAAAATCTATTGTAGTAAAAATTCTGCATGGAAATAAAATTTATAACTGTAAGCAAAGGTGCCACCCCAGCCACTCACCGCTTGGTGCCCTTTGACTTGGGATTTTTGGCAAACAGAGAAGTGTCAAGTGACTCCAGGGACTTTCCTTTGGTGCTGAATAGTCTCTGGGCTCGCTCTTCTAGGGTCCTAAAGAGACAGGAGGGGAAAAGGATTCTAGGGTCACTGACTTTACCACACAGGCTTGCTTATTTTTGCAGGGTGGGGTGACAGAAAAAAAAGTAATCAGAGCCACTTACAAGATTGCACAAATGCACAGTAAATAAGACTGTTTTGGTGGAAAAACCATTCTCTTACCCGCCACATTTCAGGCCTAAAGCTAAGAGTGCAGATTTCAATCTGTCCAGACCCAGGGAGGCCAACTCCTGTATAAAAAAGACAAATTACAATATTACATAAATAGATTTGGGGAAATAGCAAGTGCAGGCTGTTCCTGACGCTGTGGTAGGACCACACAATCTACAGCCAATCTCCTAGCATTAAGTCCAAACTCTCCAAAGGACTGACTGTGTGGTCATGTTCAGATTTTACTACACTGGTAATGTTCTATTAGCTCTACTACAACTTAATGTAGCTGTATTATTATTTGGCAGTTTTCAAAGTAGTTAGATTACTCTTTTTTCTTTTTATCTTTCCACTTTCCTTGCAGATGCTTGGTCCCAGGAAATGGTGTCTTATATAACACAGCCATGGTATTAAAGACAGGAATGTTGAGTGGTTCCTCTGAAAGATGGACATGGAGAGCAATACTGTTGCTGAAGAAAACATACCTCCCAGGAGGAGAATGCAGAGAGGTCAAGATGGGCCCCAGCATGAGTCAGGGCACTGCTTGTCTCTTTCTGGCAAGAAGAACAATATGATGTTTATTAAGATCCAGGCATAGGATGAAGGCAAAGGGGCTATGTAAATTGCCAGGTGCTGGTTGGCCCCTTTCTTATACACATTTATGAATACAGAACAAATTCCTACAGGAGCAAAAAAACAAACAAAAAATCCAAAAATCCCCTGAAACCTCCCTCCCTCACCAAAAAACCCAGATGGTCCATTTTCTCCCTGAGTGTTCAGGAAAAACTCAAGTTTACCCCCAGAAGTGAAAATATATAGATTTCTAGCACATAATCTAGTCAGTTTTTGGTCAGGGAACCACACAGCACTAATGATGTGGCTGGTGAAAATTGTGAGCCAGTCAATGGCAAGTGGGCCCTGATAAATCTCATTCCAAAGTACACACAGAAAACCTAGCATACTCGGTAGGGAATACTTCATGGCCCCAAATGATACCGAGGGATTGATATCTAATCCCCTAAAGTGCAGGCTCAAGATTAATGTAAAATAATTAGTTAAATTCTCTGGCACATCTTCTACCCACACTCCCACTGAAGCTCACCGGCCATCCAGGGAAGGTACCGTTCTCCCACTTCTTCTCAAACTCAGTCTGAATCTTCCCAAAAAGTTCATTCTGATCTTGGAGGGGCTTCACTCTATCAGTGTAATCCTGAAGGTACTCAAGCAGCATCTCTAGGTATCTACAGAGGAACATGCAACACAGATATAGCAAAAAGGGTTTCTGTTTTCGATATACTGTTATGCTCTGTAGAATATACATACTTGTAATTTTAGTTAGTACTAGTTTTAAAATAGTATTCATTTTTAAATAAACTTAAAATTGAATTTTTTCCCAACATGTTATTTTGATTCTGACCTTTCCTATTGCCTTTCATCCTCATGACATAATGCCAAATACTAAAGTCTTAATTAACTCACACATAAAAGATTTCAGGTAAAAGAAAATAAGAAAAAGAGAGGAAGTTAGGGGTACAAGATCATTAAACTCCAAAGACACATAGATCCCTGAATGGGATATTTCCTTCTATAATAAGACAAAATTAAGAACAGTACGGGCATAAGATTGAAGATGTACCCACAGACACATGCTTATCCAAAGCCAGATTATTAACATTTTTTTTTTTTTTTAAGAGACAGGGTCTTACTCTGTCACCCAGGTTGGAGTGCAGTGGCGCAATCATAGCTCACTGTAGCCTCGAACTCCTGGGCTAAAGCAATCCTCCTGCCTCAGCCTCTCAAGTAGCTAGGATTACAAGTACATGCCACGATGCCTGGCTAATTTTTTTATTTTTTGTACAGACTGGTCTCGCTATGTTGCCTAGGCTGGTCTCAAACTCCTGGCCTTAAGTGATCCTCCTGCCTCAGCCTCACAAAGTGCTAGGATTACAGGTTTGAGCCATGCCTGGCCACAAATATTTTAAAACCACATCATTCGGCCAGGCGTGGTGGCTCACGCCTGTAATCCTAGCTCTCTGGGAGGCCGAGGCGGGAGGATCGCTCAAGGTCGGGAGTTCGAGACCAGCCTGAGCAAGAGCAAGACCTCGTCTCTACTAAAAATAGAAAGAAATTATCTGGACAACTAAAAATATATAGAAAAAATTAGCCGGGCATGGTGGCGCATGCTTGTAGTCCCAGCTACTCGGGAG